TAAATAACCTGATGGTGAGTAATAAGAGGGTTCATCTCTGACTGCATTGTGTGTCTGAGCCGACCTTGCAATGTTCTCTACCAAGAGCACACGTCTGTGACTATCTTATATGTGTTTTGATATTGTCATTGGTCCTTCAGCATCTTGTTTTCTGTCGTGCTGACAGCTATGTGGGAAAGATTTGGGATGCACATCTGAAAAGCCTGCAAAAATCAAACCATACTTCCATCGTACCTCCCAAACAGATCCAGTCCCAACCGAAATCCCAATTCCAGAGGAGTCATGAGGACTCATGCTTTTCCCAATGATCTTGCCTAGTTGAATAGTGATCGATAACAGCACACTAGAGGAGTACTAGAAGAGAGAAGCCACATGGAGTCGTTTACCGGTGTTTACCCTTTTACCCAGAACTCAAAGCCAATGCCAAACCCTCTCCTCAAAAGCCGCATTGATGGGATGCACAGGAGTCAGGAGCAGGAATAATCTACTAACTAAACCACAACCAGCCAGACTCACAGTGGAGACCAGAAACGTCACAGACTCCAATATAAACCGTGATCATAAAAACAGATCACAAGCACAGTCCTATGCATCGGTTTCAGACTCTAAAACCAGACCGGATTCCTGTAAATCAGGACTGACACAGAGCCGTTCTGCTAAAAGGAAGCATGACTCCAGTTTTCCGTCCACCAGCACGGATCCTGATCGCTCTATTTTGAGGAAAGCGCATGAAACTCCTTCAGGTTTGTATGGAAGCTGCCACAGAATAATAACATAAGATAAATGTACTTGCAACTTGTTGCAATTTTTGGTTTACATCCCATAGTTTGTATCTTTTGCATGCATTTCTGAGAAAAAAAAGTGAGAATTATGAGTTAAAAAGTTGCAATTGCCTTATTTTATTTTTATTTCGGTGGCAAAAATAAGCTTTCATTGCTTCACTGTAAAAAAAAATTTGTTGAAAACGTAAAAATCCAAGGCAACTTGATGCTTTCAGATTTTTACGTTCTTGCAACTATTGTGTTAATAATTGTACTGAGTAACACTACTTTTGTTTAGTCAGCTCGTTCATTCACTAGATACAAAATGCCTCTTTCAGCCAATATAGTATTTGTCAAGGCAACATCAATTCAGCATATTTTAACTTAGTAACACAAAACATTCATTTCTGGTTTTGAAAGAAGTCTCTTCTGCTCAGCAAGGCTGCATCTATTTGATCAAAAATAGAGTAAAAATATGAAATATTATTAGAATGTAAAACAGTTGTTTTCTATGTGAATATCTGTTAAACTGTAATGTATTTCTGTGATGCGCAGCTGTATTTTGAGCATCATTACTCCAGTCTTCAGTGTCACATGATCTTCAGAAATCATTCTAATATGCTGATTTGCTGCTCAAGAAACATTTCTGGTTATTATCAATGTTTCATTGTTTTACTCTATTATTAATCAAATAAATGCATTCAGGATGAGCAGAAAAAAAACGGCTCACTTTTAATCAATTAAATGTATTCTTGTTGAATAAATGCGTTCTTTTTTCTTTTTAGAATTTTAACAATTATACATATCTCAAAACATGTTCCACAGGAAGCTGCTGAATGTACAGGTGCATCTCAATAAATTAGAATGTCGTGGAAAAGTTAATTTATTTCAGTAATTCAACTCAAATTGTGAAACTCGTGTATTAAATAAATTCAATGCACAGAGACTGAAGTTGTCAGGGATTCATCACAGTCACTTCAGTCACCATCCAGGATAATTACCCGATCACAGTCACCTGAGTTCTGTTCCACGACATTCTAATTTATTGAGATGCACCTGTATATGCCGTTGTTTCTGTTGTCTGAGGAGTGAATGAAGGATCCTTGAGCTCGCTGTGTTCGGTGGGATTGAATGGCAGGAGATTGATGAAGCGGCACAAGGCTGAACTCTCTTTGTGTGTGTGTTTGAATAGCTCTGACTCTATTGTAACGCTAAACCCAAGTTTTCCACACACACTCCTGAAGGACACACACACACACACACCACACACACTCACACACACACTCACGCACACACACACACACCACACACACTCACGCACACACACACACTCACGCACACACACACACACCACACACACTCACGCACACACACACACTCACGCACACACACACACACCACACACTCCACACCACACCACAAACACTCACACACACACACACTGCAACCTCATCAGGCTCGTTTGAACACATTAAGTCATTAACATACAGACGCTCAACATAAATATCCAGCAGAAAACCAGTTCAGATGAGGATGCTGTTGTCATGGATACCAGACCATAATAGACTAAGTAATAAACTTTAATGCCAGCGCACTGTCTTCTACAATCTAATGTATTCTGAGGGGTCAAAAAATATTTTGATGCAAATATAGAAAGGCCCAAAGTGAAAATGTACTTAATCTAAAAACGCAGGGAATGACGAACTTTGAAAGTCTTTCTGACATAAGCAGCTCAACAACATTTCCATTGCAGCATTTCATTATGACCATCATTAATGTACTGCTTCTAAACGAGGTGCGTGAACTCTGTGCTGTCTGATTAGACCTCGTTTGCGTCGGGATGCTGATGAGTTTATTATCGCTCATATTCTCAGATTTACAGACGTGATGTTCCTCAAAGCACGTCTGACTTCTCCAGGTGTTATATTGGATGAAATTGTTCTTTTGTTGGCCTGCATGCGCATAAACAATCTAGAAATGCTGGATTAGATTAGTGTTTGTGAGCTCTGAATACTGAGCAGGCATTTCTGCTGTTTAGTGCTGCGTTCAGATGAATCTCATATCTATTATTTCACAGCTTTGACCTGCTACTCGCTTATATTACACATTAACCCCTTCAGTCCCGAGACGGACAGGCCATGAGGTACTTACCGTTTACATTCGTTTTATTTCTCTGTGTAGAATTTGTTTTAATTCAATTTATAATATATGAAAAAATTAATACAAATATATTTTAAATATAGTTTTTATTCAATATTTATATTTTAAAAACAAAAATTGAAAACACAAAAAATAAAAACTAATTATATATATATGATAAAATATATAATAATATATATATATATATATAAAACTTAAACCATGAAAAATATTTTCATTACTTCAAAGAAAATTACATTAAGTGAAGAAAAAAAAGACTTACATATTAAAAAAATGAAGTAAAAAAAAAATCTTATTTCATTTAATTTTCATTTAGGTTAGCTTGATGTACTAAAATAACTAAAATTAACAAATGAAATAAAATGAAATAAATTAATGAAATAAAAATTAATTAAAATGTAGAGTTTGTAGAAAGTAATGAAAAAAATAAAACACACACGCACGCACGCACACACACACACACACACTCACACAGGTTTGTTTTTGTGAAAAGTGGGGACGATGTTCTAAAATAACTACACACACACACACACACACACACACACACACAACAAAATTACTAAACCTTTTACAAAAATGTAAAATAAATCGGAAAGTATAAAAATAAAAGCTTATAATAATAATATAATTTATAATGTATTGATATAAAATGTAAAATTTTAATTTATATAAAAAAATTTGTATTTTACATTTGTATTTTATTTATATACAAAAACTGTATATATTTTTAAAATTTATTAGACTTAATAAATGGGTTTTTATTTAACATTTTCTTTTTATAATCAATGCAAGATGTATATATTTAAATATGACGTCTTCCTAGCAGCAAAACAGTAATATGATATTAACCCTCTGATGAATAGCTGTTCATGACCTTTGACCTTTACCCATATTTCATTGTGTTTTTCTATATTTATGAAAAAAGGACTGTCTTCTGTTAAGAGGATGCATATGTAACTCATTTTGGAACAAAAAGATAATAATACACATTTAAGACTTACTTTGTGATTTCATAATTCATGCATCAGAAGGCTGATGTTGCTGAAACATGTTCTTTAAGGTGAAGGTGTGATTTATTCTGTCAGGATCAGTTTGTCAGATGATTTTTCATTAAACGTCACTCTTCATAATTTCTCAAGCAGAAACATGATGTTCTGAACAGGGTTATTATAGTAGCTGAAAGTAAAACGAAAACCATTAAATGAGTTCTTACTTGAAAAAAATAAACATTGACTGAAATAAAATAAAATAGTATATAAATGTTATATTATAGAAAATTTAAACTTTTTGGACATTTCTCATTTTCATTTAGTTTAAGCTTGACATGCTTAAATTAACCTAAACTATACAGACATGTTGAAAGAAGTAGATACTAAAAATGAGAAGAATGCAACAAAATTACTAAAACTTACTAAAAATAACATGAAAGCAGAAAAAAAAATATATTTATATATATGTATAAATCAAAATATTAAAAAAATGTAAAACATAAAAATATAATTACTATAAATAAATGTTAAGATAAATAAAATAAAATAAATAAAAATTTAAGCTTATTTTATTTCTGCTAGATTCCAAGGCAATATTTGTATTTTAATTTATTGTAACTTGATGCACTAAAATAACTAAAACTACACAGACATATACAAAAATAAATAAATAAATATATATTAGTTATATATATAGTTTTGATATATTTACGGTTGGAAATTTACTAAATATCTTCACGGAACATGATCTTTACTTAATATCCTAATGATTTTTGGCATAAAAGAGAAATGGATAATTGTGACCCATACAATGTATTGTTGGCTATTGCTACAAATATACCCCAGCGACTTAACACTGCTTTTGTGCTCCAGGGACACATATAGACGTATTAAACAAAAAATTATTAAAAAGACAAAACACAACCAAACTGACAAAATTTTAACAAAATTCAAAAGAGAAAATGTAAGATTTATTTACCAAAGTATTATTGGTAATGAGACTGGAGCAGCGGTGGGTGAGGAGGAGCTCCGCTGGTGCTGATGCTGCAGCTCTATATAAGCGTCTGAGAGCATCAGAGCATCAGTGTGTGTCGAGATGTCCGACTCTCTGCTGCCTGCGTGTGTCCTCTGTCTGCTGGCGCTCTCTGCGCTCTCGTCCGCCTGCTACATCCAGAACTGCCCTCGAGGAGGCAAGAGATCCCAGCCAGAGCCCGTCAGACAGGTACAGACCAGCATCTGCATCATCAGCATCAGCATCATCATCAGCATCATCTTCATCATCAGCATCATCATCTTCATCAGCATCAGCATCATCATCAGCATCATCTTCATCATCAGCATCTTCATCATCAGCATCATCTTCATCATCAGCTTCTTCATCATCAGCATCTTCATCATCATCAGCATCTTCATCATCAGCATCATCTTCATCATCAGCATCATCTTCTTCATCATCAGCATCTTCATCATCATCATCATCATCAGCATCATCTTCATCATCACATCATATATGTGTGTGTGTATATATATATATATATATATATATGTGTGTGTGTTTGTGTGTGTGTGTGTGTTTGTATGTGTGCGTGTATATATATATATGTGTGTGTGTTTGTGTTTGTGTGTGTGCATGTATATATATATATATATATATATATATATATATGTGTGTGTGTTTGTTTCTCTCTGTGTGTGTGTGTGTGTGTGTGTGTGTAGTGTCCGGCGTGTGGTCCGGGGAATCAGGGCCGTTGTCTGGGCCCCAGTATTTGCTGCGGGGCCGGTCTGGGTTGTCTGCTCGGGTCTCCAGAGACGCTGAGCTGCATGGAGGAGAATCTGCAGCCGGGCCCCTGTGAGACGGGCGGGGTGTCCTGCGGGGCCCGGGGCCGATGCGCGGCTCCAGGAGTCTGCTGCGACTCTGGTGAGCAAAACATCCCATCATGTGATATTACACACAAACTACATCTCCTTTAACTCTCAAGTTCTGAACATCTCGCTATGACAGGTATTTGTGCCTAATGCATGTTTTCTGTTTTCCAGAGAGCTGTGTTCTGGATCCAGATTGCTCTGAAGACGTGGGATCTCATCGGTCTGAAGACGGCGCGGCTCTGAAGGGTGTTTCTGGAGAAATGCTGCTGCGTTTGCTCAGTCTGGCCACTTGGCGTCTGTAGCTCCTTCATTCACACGTTGCTCCGCTCAGCGCTGTGTAAATACTGTATGTAGTAAACGGACGTGAAAGTCAATCTGTTTGGCTCGTTTGTTATTTCAAGGGCTTTGGTTTGAGTTTATTGTCCCAGAAGCTGCGTGACCCGTTTCTGCCTTTGTGTGATGATAATGCAGAGATTTCTGAGAGTAATTACACAGCTAACATATAATCTGCAGCCCAAAGCAGTTTGTGGCTTTTCTGGAAGCTCCTGCAGATCCTCCAACTGTATTTCTGAGTCTGACAGATCCTGCAGATCAGGTTTGAAACCCTTTTATTAAAGATGAATTAAGTATACAAGGTAGTTAGCTTTATGCTTTAATCACTGTAAAACCTGGAAACCAAAGGCATTCAGATGATTTATTACAGACGCCAGAAAACCAGAGGAAGGAGTTGCATACAGAAGAAAAGGAAAGTGACAGAAGCACATGAAAGAATTAAAGCCAAACACGTGCCACATGTTTCATTTTAACAAGATATTATTTTGGTCCATTGCAAACATCAATAACAATAATGAAAATAATAATAATGATGATGATGATGATGATGATAATAATGGTGCTGATGATAAATGTTACTACAGACAAAAAAAAAAATTTAAAAATATATATATATTTTTACATTTTTTAAATATATTTTTATATTATATTATATTATAGTTCTTATATATTAATTAAAAAATAGTTGGGATATATATATATATATATTTACTGTATATAAATTCGGACATTTTTCTCAGAATTGCAAGCAAAAAAAAAGTCTGAATTGTGAGATAAAAAGTAAATTTTTATTTTTTTTATTTCATGGCAGAAACAAAAAAAACACACACACACACAATTGCAAGATGTAAACTCAGAAACTCAATTAAACCATAATATATCAGTTCATTGATCCCTTTAGATGACTCACTGTTCTGTGATTTAGATTTGATCTATATGTGCACTGAATATGTTTATCATATTCTAATAAGTGGGATTTCTTGTAAGGTGAAGGGTGAAACTCCTGTAACAGTATCAAGAAAGAAAGTAAAACAGACAAGCTTGAACATCCAAAGCAATTACAGAACACACCCAGCGACCCGCATCTGACCGTAACGAACAACACAAATCAACACACTCCTGAACAACACTCCTAATGACATCAGTGTCACGCATAACCTGCAGCAAAAATATACAAGAGATTTCATAACCGATTCGTAAAGTGTTTTCTTTGCTGTGATTGCTGATGAGTCTGGGCAGGCCGGGCGATGAGGGCGGAACGGGACTCGCATGCATGGCTTTAAATCAGCTTTTCTCTTTTCATTCACACTCAGTGCTGTTCAAGCATGGAGCTCAAAGCAACGTCTGTGCTGCTGCTCGTCTGCGTCACCATCATCATCCTCACCAGCGCTGAAGGTCAGAATCAACTAAATCTCACACGAGGATCATGTTTATTTTTTTAAATAAACATGATGCAAATGTGCTGTTGATGCAAATTGCAACATGTAATATTTACTTTTATTAAATGTTTAGGTTAGTGCAATTTTGGGTTATGCATTTGCTGCTTTTAAAGTCAGACACGTTTATAGGCCTAATGCTTCATACAATACAGGCTCTGTTCTTCAATAGCTCTAAAATCTATTTGGCTCAATTCAGTTCAGTGTTGATTACATGAATGCAATGTGCACATCTGGATTAAAGCTTGCGACCAGTGCTTAATTTGTTCCGATTAAGTTTTCCCGGAACATTCCATGACGTCACAAGTGTCTGCATGGACCTAACTAGCTTTAACTTTTGAGTCAAAAATCTGACATTTTCCGCAACAGGATCCGGCTCAAATTAAGCACCGCGTGCAACTTTTGATCTCAATTCTGAATTTATTTTTTTTTCCTCTGTGTTTTTTTCCCTCAAACTCAGAATTGCAAGCAAAAAAAAAAAAAAATGGAACTGTGAAATAAAAAGTTACCTTTTTATTAGCTTTTTATTCATGGCAGAATCCTAAATAAATAAATAAAAAACAATTGCAAACTCAGTCATAACTGCAAGATATAAACTTTTTTCTCATAATTCTGATTTTATTTCTTGCAATTCTGCAGAGTTTATATCTCGTAACTTATAACCAGTGTTGGGGAAAGTTACTTTTAAAAGTAATGCATTACAATATTGCGTTACTCCATAAAAAAGTAACAAATTACGTTACTTAGTTACTTTTTATGGAAAGTAATGCGTCTGTCACCATGGCAACACCAGAGCTGTCAATCAATAAACTGGAAAAATAAAGTAACTTGTGTTACTCAGAGAGGATTTTTGATTGATCGCACCTCAGTTTTTGAGCCAAAACCATCCACAAATAATGCCTTTTCAGATCAATCATTTTTAAAAAGCATAATGACAGATTTAATACAAGCAATTTTTAAAGGGCCGGTAATTTTTTGAGCAGAAATGCCAGATTAGCACAAAGTAAAGCTGATGCATCAGTATGCTCCTGTAAGTCAGAACGGTGTCAGTAAAGTCATGTGTTTGATTGCCAGAGACACACATACCTATAAAGCAGCTTGAATAGATGGTGAGTCAGTGTGGACAGCAGGGATGTTGTCGTGACACGCACCGCGCTGCTTTATGGGAACATCTATAAATGAAGACTTGTCTGTCTCTGTCCTTCTTTCCTGAGCTCAAAACATCCTACAGGAACTGTGTGCTTTTGTTAGGTGAAGATTTAACCCTCATTCAATTGCAGATGTTGCTTTTGTTCCAGTGGATGCCATTCCTAGTTGTTGTGTGAGAGTTTCAAAGAACATCCCTCGGAGCAAGCTGCGTTTGGTCTCCAAATATGAGATCCAGCGCAGATCTGGTGTCTGTGACATCGATGCATTGATGTGAGTGTTTAACACAAACACAAACACAGATCAGTCCTGTGCTCCTGCATTAACTGTGTTTACTGCTCTACAGATTACACATCAGAAAGAAGTGGATCTGTGCTGATCTCGCAGTCTTGAGACGCTTGAGGAAACTCAAGAAGAATCACAAACCCAAACGGACTCAAGCGAAGGCTGAATGAACATCATCATCTGTCTGATAATGCATGAATCTACCAGCAGCTTCAGTAGCCTACTTGTTGGATTGCATGTTTTAAAAGTCCTTCTTAACATTTTTTTTTTTTACTACAATATACTGTATATATTCTTTGTATGCTCTGCTTTTTAATGCAATAAAATGCCCTTTTCTAGTTTTGGCTGTGCAGTATGTTGGTTGATTTTTCACATTAACCCAAACAAATGAAATGTGTGATGTAAAAGAACTAATGTGAGTTAGCAAATTCTTTAAAATAAATGTTTTTTTTGTTTTTTATTTTGAGTCGCGCATTAGACATTCATATTCTAAACACTTTTCATTTACTATATTCAAGTCTTATTTTTATACACTGGTCTGATTTGGCCAGAGATATAGAGCGAGATCCGCCCACTCACCCTCCACCTATGAGAACGCTGGATCTTTCACTGATTGATGATTGATGTAGACGCCGCCCACTCACCCTCCACCTATGAGAACGCTGGATCTTTCACTGATTGATGATTGATGTAGACGCCGCCCACTCACCCTCCACCTATGAGAACGCTGGATCTTTCACTGATTGATGATTGATGTAGACGCCGCCCACTCACCCTCCACCTATGAGAACGCTGGATCTTTCACTGATTGATGATTGATGTAGACGCCGCCCACTCACCCTCCACCTATGAGAACGCTGGATCTTTCACTGATTGATGATTGATGTAGACGCCGCCCACTCACCCTCCACCTATGAGAACGCTGGATCTTTCACTGATTGATGATTGATGTAGACGCCGCCCACTCACCCTCCACCTATGAGAACGCTGGATCTTTCACTGATTGATGATTGATGTAGACGCCGCCCACTCACCCTCCACCTATGAGAACGCTGGATCTTTCACTGATTGATGATTGATGTAGACGCCGCCCACTCACCCTCCACCTATGAGAACGCTGGATCTTTCACTGATTGATGATTGATGTAGACGCCGCCCACTCACCCTCCACCTATGAGAACGCTGGATCTTTCACTGATTGATGATTGATGTAGACGCCGCCCACTCACCCTCCACCTATGAGAACGCTGGATCTTTCACTGATTGATGATTGATGTAGACGCCGCCCACTCACCCTCCACCTATGAGAACGCTGGATCTTTCACTGATTGATGATTGATGTAGACGCCGCCCACTCACCCTCCACCTATGAGAACGCTGGATCTTTCACTGATTGATGATTGATGTAGACGCCGCCCACTCACCCTCCACCTATGAGAACGCTGGATCTTTCACTGATTGATGATTGATGTAGACGCCGCCCACTCACCCTCCACCTATGAGAACGCTGGATCTTTCACTGATTGATGATTGATGTAGACGCCGCCCACTCACCCTCCACCTATGAGAACGCTGGATCTTTCACTGATTGATGATTGATGTAGACGCCGCCCACTCACCCTCCACCTATGAGAACGCTGGATCTTTCACTGATTGATGATTGATGTAGACGCCGCCCACTCACCCTCCACCTATGAGAACGCTGGATCTTTCACTGATTGATGATTGATGTAGACGCCGCCCACTCACCCTCCACCTATGAGAACGCTGGATCTTTCACTGATTGATGATTGATGTAGACGCCGCCCACTCACCCTCCACCTATGAGAACGCTGGATCTTTCACTGATTGATGATTGATGTAGACGCCGCCCACTCACCCTCCACCTATGAGAACGCTGGATCTTTCACTGATTGATGATTGATGTAGACGCCGCCCACTCACCCTCCACCTATGAGAACGCTGGATCTTTCACTGATTGATGATTGATGTAGACGCCGCCCACTCACCCTCCACCTATGAGAACGCTGGATCTTTCACTGATTGATGATTGATGTAGACGCCGCCCACTCACCCTCCACCTATGAGAACGCTGGATCTTTCACTGATTGATGATTGATGTAGACGCCGCCCACTCACCCTCCACCTATGAGAACGCTGGATCTTTCACTGATTGATGATTGATGTAGACGCCGCCCACTCACCCTCCACCTATGAGAACGCTGGATCTTTCACTGATTGATGATTGATGTAGACGCCGCCCACTCACCCTCCACCTATGAGAACGCTGGATCTTTCACTGATTGATGATTGATGTAGACGCCGCCCACTCACCCTCCACCTATGAGAACGCTGGATCTTTCACTGATTGATGATTGATGTAGACGCCGCCCACTCACCCTCCACCTATGAGAACGCTGGATCTTTCACTGATTGATGATTGATGTAGACGCCGCCCACTCACCCTCCACCTATGAGAACGCTGGATCTTTCACTGATTGATGATTGATGTAGACGCCGCCCACTCACCCTCCACCTATGAGAACGCTGGATCTTTCACTGATTGATGATTGATGTAGACGCCGCCCACTCACCCTCCACCTATGAGAACGCTGGATCTTTCACTGATTGATGATTGATGTAGACGCCGCCCACTCACCCTCCACCTATGAGAACGCTGGATCTTTCACTGATTGATGATTGATGTAGACGCCGCCCACTCACCCTCCACCTATGAGAACGCTGGATCTTTCACTGATTGATGATTGATGTAGACGCCGCCCACTCACCCTCCACCTATGAGAACGCTGGATCTTTCACTGATTGATGATTGATGTAGACGCCGCCCACTCACCCTCCACCTATGAGAACGCTGGATCTTTCACTGATTGATGATTGATGTAGACGCCGCCCACTCACCCTCCACCTATGAGAACGCTGGATCTTTCACTGATTGATGATTGATGTAGACGCCGCCCACTCACCCTCCACCTATGAGAACGCTGGATCTTTCACTGATTGATGATTGATGTAGACGCCGCCCACTCACCCTCCACCTATGAGAACGCTGGATCTTTCACTGATTGATGATTGATGTAGACGCCGCCCACTCACCCTCCACCTATGAGAACGCTGGATCTTTCACTGATTGATGATTGATGTAGACGCCGCCCACTCACCCTCCACCTATGAGAACGCTGGATCTTTCACTGATTGATGATTGATGTAGACGCCGCCCACTCACCCTCCACCTATGAGAACGCTGGATCTTTCACTGATTGATGATTGATGTAGACGCCGCCCACTCACCCTCCACCTATGAGAACGCTGGATCTTTCACTGATTGATGATTGATGTAGACGCCGCCCACTCACCCTCCACCTATGAGAACGCTGGATCTTTCACTGATTGATGATTGATGTAGACGCCGCCCACTCACCCTCCACCTATGAGAACGCTGGATCTTTCACTGATTGATGATTGATGTAGACGCCGCCCACTCACCCTCCACCTATGAGAACGCTGGATCTTTCACTGATTGATGATTGATGTAGACGCCGCCCACTCACCCTCCACCTATGAGAACGCTGGATCTTTCACTGATTGATGATTGATGTAGACGCCGCCCACTCACCCTCCACCTATGAGAACGCTGGATCTTTCACTGATTGATGATTGATGTAGACGCCGCCCACTCACCCTCCACCTATGAGAACGCTGGATCTTTCACTGATTGATGATTGATGTAGACGCCGCCCACTCACCCTCCACCTATGAGAACGCTGGATCTTTCACTGATTGATGATTGATGTAGACGCCGCCCACTCACCCTCCACCTATGAGAACGCTGGATCTTTCACTGATTGATGATTGATGTAGACGCCGCCCACTCACCCTCCACCTATGAGAACGCTGGATCTTTCACTGATTGATGATTGATGTAGACGCCGCCCACTCACCCTCCACCTATGAGAACGCTGGATCTTTCACTGATTGATGATTGATGTAGACGCCGCCCACTCACCCTCCACCTATGAGAACGCTGGATCTTTCACTGATTGATGATTGATGTAGACGCCGCCCACTCACCCTCCACCTATGAGAACGCTGGATCTTTCACTGATTGATGATTGATGTAGACGCCGCCCACTCACCCTCCACCTATGAGAACGCTGGATCTTTCACTGATTGATGATTGATGTAGACGCCGCCCACTCACCCTCCACCTATGAGAACGCTGGATCTTTCACTGATTGATGATTGATGTAGACGCCGCCCACTCACCCTCCACCTATGAGAACGCTGGATCTTTCACTGATTGATGATTGATGTAGACGCCGCCCACTCACCCTCCACCTATGAGAACGCTGGATCTTTCACTGATTGATGATTGATGTAGACGCCGCCCACTCACCCTCCACCTATGAGAACGCTGGATCTTTCACTGATTGATGATTGATGTAGACGCCGCCCACTCACCCTCCACCTATGAGAACGCTGGATCTTTCACTGATTGATGATTGATGTAGACGCCGCCCACTCACCCTCCACCTATGAGAACGCTGGATCTTTCACTGATTGATGATTGATGTAGACGCCGCCCACTCACCCTCCACCTATGAGAACGCTGGATATTTCACTGATTGATGTAGACTCCGCCCACTCACCCTCCACCTGAGAACGCTGGATCTTTCACTGATTGATTGATCGATGTAGACTCCGCCCACTCACCCTCCACCTATGAGAACGCTGGATCTTTCACTGATTGATTGATTGATGTAGACTCCGCCCACTCACCCTCCACCTGTGAGAACCCTGGATCTTTCACTGATTGATTGATTGATGTAGACTCTGCCCACTCACCCTCCACCTATGAGAACGCTGGATATTTCACTGATTGATTGGTGTAGACTCCGCCCACTCACCCTCCACCTGTGAGAACGCTGGATTTTTCACTGATTGATTGATGTAGACTCCGCCCACTCACCCTCCACCTATGAGAACGCTGGATATTTCACTGATTGATTGATTGATGTAGACTCCGCCCACTCACCGCCCAATGAATACAGCTGGCAGCACCTGCTTTATTTATTAGCTAAAATATTCCTGTAATGGAGAAACTGAGCTTTTCATGAGCTGCAAGCATATCTGCACAGCTGAACAAAACAATTAACTGTTCTACTTCCATTTAACACATTTATTAAAAATCCTATTTTTATGTCCCATTTTTGTTTTGTGCACACTTTGTATAACATACTGATGGAAGAAGAGCTGTGATGAAAATGGCGTCCGAAAGTCTGAGACTACTTGTGATAGTTTTTTTTTTTCTTTTCTTTTTTAAGTTCACTCATTCATTAAATGTTATATTAAATACAATTATATTATATTACTCACTACTACAGGTTTGTAACGACATGAGGCTGGATGAGTAACCAGGATTGTCATTTTTGGGTCAACCGTCCAAAAAGTTAGTCATCTAGTTAGTTTTTCTTCAATAATTTAAGTAAGACTGATTACACCTTGTCTATATTTGTTTTCTTCCGTATTTATGTTTATGTTCATTATATGTGTTGTTGTTATTCTGTCTTACATGCTTAAACTGTACGACATTGCTTTCTATCTGCCTTGTATTTTTGGTCTTGTAGCCTACTTATATGTGATGGAAATAATAATAATAATAACTAGTTCTTAAGAACATAGTACATAGACTATGTTTATGAAACTGGCCCCAGAATCTTAAATATATTTTTTTCAATTACTTTTTTTTTCTTTGTTGAACTTTTACACTGTTGTTGTTGACGCTTGTACAGAATCGCTCAATGAACTCGTTCCCTAGTCCCTAGCTATATAGTGAACATCATGCTGCGTACTGTAGTGCAGAAGGGCATAGCGGTGATTGCGCTGCATCTGGCGCCATCTAGTGGCGGATTCACGAACTGACCGAACTACTACAGCACTGTATGTGACCCTGCAGCACAAAAGCAGTCATAAGCAGCACAGGTATATTTGTAGCAATAGCCAACAATACATTGTATGGGTCAAAATTATACATTTCTCTTTTATGCCAAAAATCATTAGGATATTAAGTAAAGATCATGTTCCATGAAGATATTTTGTACATCTCCTACCGTAAATATATCAAAACTTAATTTTTGATTAGTAATATGCATTGCTAAGAACTTAATTTGGACAACTTTAAAGATGATTTTCTCAATATTTAGATTTTTTTGCACCCTCAGATTCCAGATTTTCAAATAGTTGTATCTCAGCCAAATATTGTCCTATCCTAACAAAAAAAATGGACCCTTATGACTGGTTTTGTGCTCCAGGGTCACATAGCAAACGAATGATTATTTCATATGTCAAAGTTGTTCCTTTTCCAGGACATACAAATAATCCTATATAAATATGATTGTAAAAAGATGCTGTAAGCATCAATGTTCAGTCTTTCAGCACCCAAAACACATCAGCAAACTTATAAACACGGAAAACGAATGAAACAAGTCAAATTAATTATACAGTGCTTTTCATAAAACATGAAAACAGCTTTACAGATATGCATAATGCTTATAATACTACTTTAATGCCTTAAAGTCCGTGCCAGATTCGTGATGAACAAAAGTAGTAAGTGTAGCCTAAGTTACTAGTTTGACCAGTTTCACCTGTTTCAGGTTTCACCAGTCTTTCTGGGCAGCAGGTCACACTCACAACATTTACAGTTTCATCTCTTAACATCTTTTAATATCTCATTTGAAAACCCATCTATTTTTTGTTTTGTTTTTTTATTTATCTGTTATTTGTTTCCCATGTTTTGTCGTTCTGTAATGCATTTGTAAAGCCTCCATGGGTTTGTAAAACGAAGCTATACAGTTACTATTAATTATTATTATTATTTTTAATAATAGGCACTGAATTCGCACACAGTGTAAAACAGGACAATTATTATTTGGACACATTCAACTCGACCAATCAGAGACCGTTTCCGCGCCACCACGCCCCGCCCCTCCCGAGACCCCGCCCCCTTGTCTTGTTAGTTGTCGTTCAGTTCGTATCGTTTAATTATTAACTGACTTTGATTATGTAACTCATTCAGCGTTTCTCTGGACTGGCTTCAGACACTAATACAGCATGTTAGTCTCCACACCGAAAACTGCGAGGATTGAAGGAGGTCAAGACTGAAGACACCGAAACAAACATGACGCTAAAGGACGAGGTTAAACGCGCGAGACTCATGAAGTTTGCTTCCGCCGCGTTTTACGCCTTTTGCTCGTTTTTTATCATCGTGGTCAATAAAAATATATTAACTGAGCACAAGTGAGTGTCAGCTTCCGGCTTTCATATTAGAATAACAGCATGTGCTTAATCATAATAATAATGCGTGTTAATTTAATAGGTTTCCCTCGTTTATGTTTCTCGGAATTGGGCAGGTGAGTAACATTCTCAGCCTATGTTTTAAAACCTATGCAAACGCACGAGACTCTGATATTATTTTGTTTGTTCATAGATGACAGCTACAATCATCATTCTATATGTTGCCAAAATGAACAAAGCCATCCATTTTCAGGACTTTGACAAAAGTATTCCTGGAAAGGTAATTTATAATATGTGCATTTTTTCCTATTTTAATCGCATTGTCATGATTGTTTATTGTTTTTCTATACTGTAGATATTTCCTTTACCACTGCTGTATGTGGGGAATCACGTGAGCGGACTGGGAGGAACTCAGAAACTCAGGTGAATAAATAGAAACGCAAGAGTTTTGCATACAGACAAACTCACGTGAAGCTGGTGCTTTGTGTTTTTCAGCTTACCCATGTTCACTGTGCTCAGAAAATTCACCATTTTACTCACAATGATGATGGAATCCAGGATACTGAGGTATATATGTTCTTTTAGTGATTTTTTTATTTATTTTTAATTATGCTTAAAACTACAATGCCACTTTTTTGTTCGAAAATGTAAATAATGAGCAAGTACACCATAACCTTAAATCCTTAAGCTAAGAAAGCACATCATTATTTGTATTTTAATGCTGTCACCCATATGGCAAAAATATTTTTTTTTCAGGCCAAAATATACCTTCATATACCAAAATATATTTCAGAGGCAAGAAAATACACTTATAACCTTATAGTATTATTCATTATTTATTTTTATTCAGTTGTGTTGCATGTTCACGCGTGTTATAGCGGGGGCTTGATATATTTCAAGATATAAAAAAACATTTTTAAAAATATGCAAAATATATGTTGGTAGGAAAACATATGTTTATGTAAATATATTTTAAAGCAAATTTTATTTTTTATTTTTGCATTTTGAAAATATTTTTTAGAATTTGAAATATATATATATGTGTGTGTGTGTGTATTTCCGGTAGGAAATTTACAAAATATCTTCATGGAACATGATCTGTACTTAATATTCTAATGATTTTTGGCATAAAAGAAAAATGTATAATTTTGACCCATACAATGTATTGTTGGCTATTGCTACAAATATACCTCAGCGACTTAAGACTGCTTTTGTGCTCCAGGACCACACATATATATATATATATATATATGTGTGTGTGTGTGTGTGTGTGCGTATGGGCAGGACAGATTTCCCAGGAAACTGCATATTTTCATAATTAATCTGTGCGTATGTGTCATATCCGTAAATAAAGACAGTCAGGCTGCTGCTAGATGAAGTGGATGTAGCTTGAAAACACAACAAATGAAGCTCGAACCGGAAAGAGTTTGCATTTGGAACGCAACAGTATGCGTAATAAAACACGAACCAACATAAGTTTGCGTAGCATTTGCTAGCTTCACAAAACAATGTTTATGTTGATAACCGCCAATCTCTGAAACACTTCCTTCTTTGGTCTGTCCTTGTTTATATTAACTAGCCATGCAAAGTTATAGTTCCCACCGTTATCTGATATGAATAGCAGTCATTCATTATGTCTAAAGTCAGCTGTTTAAAAAAAAAAACTGCTCAGAAAGACGTTTTTCAGATATCCGTCTTTCTTCGGTTATTAGAGTTTTAATGTCGCAGAGCTCACGTGTGCCTCCGCAAGCAACTTGTAGTTTTACGTTTTAACTGCTAGAAGGCCAAAAGTGATGCATGATGATAAGACTGTGTTTATATCTTCAGGAAAAGCTTCGCTCCGCCGCTGGTGTGCAGTGTTTTGGCTATAGTCGTGGGCGCTCTGGTGGCAGCCAGGTACATGAACACAGATCATTCATGATAATATGATATATATACAGACACAGGTGTGTTTATTAACTCTGACCCGACTGCTTCAGCTCGGACCTGTCCTTCAATGCAGAAGGATACACGTTTGTTCTGCTAAACGACGTCTTCACGGCCGCCAGTGGAGTTTACACCAAGAAGAAACTGGGGATGGAGGTACATGACAGCAGGAGTTATCAGTGATGAAAATAACTGATGATAACGTCTTTGCCACATGCATCATATCTCCTGCAGCAGGCTGTTAGATATCAATGCGACTAGGTGTTATCAAATGCACTTGGAAGTCATTAGGTGTAAACTTTACAGCTTTGTGATGAAACACAGATCTGCAGCCGTATGCAAACATGTGAACTCTTGCCTTCGTTGTCTGTTGTTTCAGGGTCTTGGTAAATATGGGGTTTTGTTTTATAACGCTTTTATCATTATTATCCCAACGGTCCTGGCAAGCGCTTACACCGGAGATTTAGAGAAGGTGAGCGAGAACATCGAGATGAAGAAAATGAATTTCAACATCTTTCAACATATCTCATATTTTCTTCTTATTTTAAGGCTCTAACCTTTGAAGGATGGATGTCTGTTACGTTCGTATTTTATTTTTTATTGTCTTGTGTCATGGGGTGAGTCCAACTCATGTTTTTTTAGTATTTTATTATTATAAAATATATGGTTCTTATATATATAATTAAAAAATATATAATATATGTGACCCTGCAGCACAAAAGCAGTGTTAAGTCACAGGGGGATATTTGTAGCAATAGCCAACAATACATTGTATGGGTCAAAATTATACACCAATTGAAAACTTATTATTCAGCTTTCAGCTGATGCATAAATCTCAATTTAAAAAAACTGACCCTGATGACTGGTTTTGTGCTCCAGGGTCACATATGTTTATGTATATATCTAACTCCAGTATTTTCTAATTTCAGGTTTATTTTGATGTATTCGATCATCCTCTGCAGTTATTATAACACGGCACTAACCACCACAGTCGTTGGGGCAATTAAAGTATCTTCACTAATTCTATATTATTTATTGTACTATAATAATATTTTTTATTATATAAAGAGTTTCTGTGGGTCTTAAAGTATTTTTTGTCCTACAAGCGAAGGCCTTAAAAGGTCTAAAATGAGAGCATAAAGTCTTGAATTCATAAAGTCGTGGCATTAAGTGTTGCATGCGTTGCAAAAAAACAAATCTCTTCCTCAGTATTTTTGTCTTGGTTTCCAGTACAAATATCTAAACATCCTTAAATCAAGACATTTATTTGAGAAGCAAAATCTAAAATTTAATATTGAAAAATTAAACAAAATGAAATGATTTCATATATTTGTCAGTGAGGAATAAACACTAGTTTCCCTTTGAATTAAGTTGATTTCTCTGACTCCACTGGCAGGTATTTATTCTTGTTTTAATCATAAACTCTATTCTCAGAAAACTAGACTTCATATCTTAGGTCATTTTGATTCTCCAGTAAATGTATATTAATTTAAAGATCTTCAGACATTTCCACTGGAAAACAAGACAAAAACAGAGGAAGAACATAATTGTTGCAGTGCGATCTAAGCCATTTTTTTGTAAAATGAATTAAAAAGTATAAGAGAAAACGGTTAGATGATGTATTTTAAAACTTTTAAGCATTACTAATACAAGACATTGACATTTGAAGACCATACTGATGTATTTCTTTACTTTACTCACATTTTCTTTACTTGGTTTTAAAAATTTGCCTTCATAAAACCTGCAGAAACACTGTATATAATATATTATAAAGTTAGTCTATCATACTCCATAATGTGTCCCTGCAGCACAAAAGCAGTCTTAAGTCGCTGGGGTATATTTGTAGCAATAGCCAACAATACATTGTATGGGTCAAAATTATACATTTCTCTTTTATGCCAAAAATCATTAGGATATTAAGTAAAGATCATGTTCCATGAAGATATTTAGTAAATTTCCTACCGTAAATATATCAAAACTTAATTGATTAGTAATATGCATTGCTAAGAACTTAATTTGAACAACTTTAAAGATGATTTTCTCAATATTTAGATTTTTTTTGCACCCTCAGATTCCAGATTTTCAAATATTGTCCTATCCTAACAAACCATACATCAGTGGAAAGCTTATTCAGATTTCAGATGATGTATTAATCTCAATTTCAAAAAACTGACCCTTATGACTGGTTTTGTGCTCCAGGGTCGCATATGTAAAATATCTAACCTTTTAAATATTTAGCATTCTGTTTGTAAGTGATCCTAGAGCTGTTTGTGTTTTCTCTCAGAACGTTGCTGTGATGTATATCGGCATGTTCATTGGTGGAGACTATATCTTCTCATGGACAAACTTCATAGGCCTGAATATATGGTAGGAAACTTAAATTTCTTACCATAATTTCCAGTGCATCACTACTAGGGCTGGGTAAAAAAATAGATATCTCGATATTAATCGATTCTCATTTTTACAGAACGACATTGATTCTTAAATCCCAAGAATCGATTAGTCTAGCCTGTTTTCAGTTAATGGATGGAACATTGAAGGGCACTTCCCATACAATATATCGCAATAAGCATTGTACGTTGGTGCTTTTAATATGAAACGATATTGAATCGAATCACAAGCTTGTGAATGAGAATCGAATCGTGAAATTTGTGTCAAAACCCAGCCCTAATCACTACCGTTTCCTAACGCTGCGTTTCTCATGTTCTCAGTATCTCGGCTGCTCTGATTTACTCCTACATCACGTTTCACAGCAGCGGCTCCTCAGAAACAAACGTCAAACCGGCAGAAGACAAACTGAGCATTCACATCACTGAGAATCATCTGGAGAAAACATGATGCTCTGCCACTCGCATGCATGTGCATTTCAGTCTTTACTGCCGTTTTATTGAATGCAATATTTAAAAACCCCTCGCTGCTCGAAAACCACTTCAGTTTCCCTTGTGTAGTTCATTTAAATAAACACAAATGCATCAACCAGGAACGATGTATATCATTTAATGAAGACTTGAAGTGCTAACACTAATGAGGAGAAGCCCGTTTACACATTTACAAAGTCCTTTGAGCACAGCGAACAGAACATCTCAGAATAAAACGCTCGATTACATTCTGTTGTCGTGACGGGATCAGTTCGTGCATGGCTTTCCGAAGGATTTCGGGGGGGGGGGGCTAAA